AAAGGAAGGAGATAGGAAAAGGATAAGTTATATACATATAAACACGGTACAAATAGTATTACGATCAACATTTAGAGAAGGAATAAAAACACCCGTAAATATAAGAGTTGAAGATAATAGAATTATGCATAAAGAATCAAGAAAGTTAGGAGAAATAGAAGGAGATTTAGGGTATGGAGTAATTAAATTTAATATATCATTACAATTTCCTATACCATTATCAACCAAGAAAATTAATAACTGTATAGGAATAATATGTAATTTTCAAGAAAAAACATTAATGGAATCAGGAGATATACCTATGGTTGTTTGTTATAGAATAGCCTATGCATTAAGTAATAGTAGTTTAAGTATGAATTACCAAAATCAAGAAAGAATATATAAAGAAAAATTATTCAATGAAACCAGTACTATTATTAAAAATGATGATAGAATTCAAAAAGAATTTTTAAGAGAACATAGTAGACGATCATTTAGTAATCCTACAAATTTAGGAAAAATGAATGAAAATAGTTTATTGAAAATTCAAGAAATTGAAGAACCTCATAGTAGCAATAGTTTATATAAGGGGGATAAAGAAATAAAAAAATTAAATAAACAGGTAAATGAATTAAGCTCATTAGTAATAAAATTAAATAATAAAATATAAAATGGAAAGGAAAGATATAAATCTTGAACTAGCTGAACTAAAAAGAAAATAAATCAAAGAAATAAATTATTTAATAGAAAAATTAATCCAATATAAATATATAGAAAAGGATGAACAAAAATTAAAACAGCTAGATTATGATATACAAAGACATAAGCAAAAATCTAAAAAATTACATAAAATAGGACCACCTAAAACGATAATATAAAATGGTATCAGAGCTAGACATAAAATTAAATATAAACATAAAATTAAAAGATAGCTAGATAACAATTAAAAATAAAATGAGTACAAGAAAAATATATTTTGATATAGACTGGGAAATACAAAACATAAAAATGGATATAACAAGATATATTTATTTACATGAAATTACAAATTTAGATTTTTATTTTGATATGATGATGATAAGTGAAAGAAAATTAAAAAGAATAATACAAATACAAAAACAAGTAACAATTGTATAAAACAACATATAATAATAACAATAACAATAATAATAAAAGCAATTTAAGCTAATGGCACACCAAATGGGTGCCACCCTCGCGGGTGGCATCGAGTGAACCGGGATTGGGGATTGTGTGTGAGAGAAGAGGTAGAACCAGAGAGGCGGTGTGAGAAGCGGCCTGACTGTGACATAAAACAAAAGTGATGTCAATCTTTCACACCACAATTACAGTACCAACTCCAAAAGTAAATTAAAAGCAGGGTTGTTTAGGTAAATGTACATGCCAAAATTTGCACTACGGCGTCGTTTGCTTTTGACAATTGGAAAAAATCAAAAGTGGGTTATGTCCGTGGAAAATATGAGAAAATCAATCCCATGCAGAAAAAGCCCACATGTTTTTTGTCATAAATTTTAAATTATTATTTTATAAAATTAAAGAAGAAAAAGAAAAAAAAAATAGAGAAAAAATATTATATTTTTTGGTCATACCAACTACACTAAAAATTAGTTGGAGTTGATGTAAGTCCAAAATTATACACGTGAAGAGTTTTGAGAAGTAGTGAAACGCTCCCGGAATAGTTTTTTATGTTTTTGGTTGTTTCCATTATTTCAACTTTTTTAGTGTTGCAATATTTTTTATTTTAATTCTTGTTCTAACACAAGTTGAACGCCTATTGAATACTAGCAATATTGATATACTAGCAATATCCATATAAAAATGAGGACCATTTTGATTTGAATCAATTCATCTTTACGTGAAACTTCTCCGAAAATCATCGTTTCCAAATTTGTTGACCATTGTATTTCGCAAATGGGGGGCCAAATAATTATTTTTATTTTTAATTACACTACAAAAAAATATTTCAATTCCAACGAAAAATTTCAACGGCAAAAATTTTTGTTGAAAATTTCAAAAAAATATTCCAACAAAGTTAATTTTATGTTGGAATAAGTGTTGGATGATTGAGAAATTCCAACGGATTTTTTCTGTTGGAATAGTTGTAGGAATTTATTTCCATAGGATTTTTCGTTGAATTTTAGCTATTCCAACGACCATTTTTCCTACGAATTTTTATACATAGGAATATCCGTTGGAATAGCTATTCCAACGAAAATGGGTCAACATTCTGATAAAACAAATTCACAATACAGTAGCTTACTATCTGATTCACTTATGTAGGACTATGTTTTATAAAAGCCCCGCTACAATCGACCTAGTGTAGCAAATCAACACAGTAATTGGATATTTGATCATGAAATTGGAAAATATCAATCATTACGAAATAATTGCAAAATCCCTAGCCATCGATTGGGGAAACTCATCTTCAGAAAATTACTACAGACAACCGAAAAAGGCTTAGACAATGAGAAAAATGCCAGATATAAAAGAGCGAATTACAGTATTGCCGCTGTGGGGTCAGCTTGGCCTCGACAGCTTCATGTTTCTAACCAACCATACCAAAAGCTCAAAGAAAGGTCGTTTATCTCCGGTTAGAGATCGACCGTGAATCTCTAAACTTCCATCCACCATTGTAATTGCGCACTTCGTCATACTGCAAAATCCCTGGTCAGCCATGACAGCAGACAAGTGTAATAAACAAAGGCTCAAAAGTCCTGCAAAACCTTGTAAGAATCAAACAGTGAGGGTTAATAATAATTTGAACAGACTATCTCACAATTTATGGAAAAAGTAATGCACAAGGTCAACAGTTCCAACGTCACCACCAAACCCACTTTATTGAGATTTTTATGCGTAAACAAAACAACATATTCCCCTCACTTTCCACCTTAATAAATCAAAATGTCATTTGTATATTATTCTCATATCGTATAAAGTTATAAACCCAAAAAATGATATTATCCCAATAAAAAAAATCAAATAGACTATGAACTAAAATAATAATAATAATAATAATCAAAAGACTGGTCATCTACAAATAAACACATTTTAGAAATTGCACTAAATCAATAAGAAAACAAAAATTTTCCAACCCACCAAAGTGAAATGACAGAATATGTTGATAGATCTGTCAAGTAAATGCCTAAAAGCCTCCACGTCATGTACTGAGTAATAATGTCCAAGTCAAAAGGAATATGGTTATATCGCATATAGAACACATATGACCAAAAATTAAAGAAAATATTGAGGAATAAATTGTAAAGACAAATACCCAAGCCTTCCGACGATAAGGGATCCAACATGAGCCTGAAACTGTGAGGGGGTCATCTGAACATCTGATGATCAATATTGAAGCTTGAAACATCATTTAAAACTTGCATGCATATCAACTTAAAATTACCATAACCACAATCTTACACTAATTTATTGCAACAAATACAAAAAACCTTTAAGCACTTTGTGCTCCATTGTATTAATTCGGTTGAGCTTTCGCAACCAAACTGTACTCTATTTTTCTTTACCATTGCAAAATGAATGATATAATTTACACGAACTCAGTCTGCAATATTTGAGTAGCCAAAGCAATGATAGTATTAATATACAAAGCAACATGTGACAACAACATGTAATTTATGAAAAGTGAATCATCAACAATCGAGCAAGTACACCAAGTACACTTCGTAAACATAAAAGCCTGTAGAGCCCATATTCATTTAGATGTTCTGTAAGCTCCATATCTATACCCTCCGATCTCCTCTACCCAATACTTCACAAAGTTTGTCTACCCACAATAAAAGGTAACGAAAATATTCAGAAAGAAAATATTTTATGTTAGAAAAGTTTTGCTATAGTCAAAATAGTAGCCCATTGAATTCATCAAGTCTTAAAACCACAGTTGCTTAAACAATTAAGTTAATAAAATTATAAATATCAGAAATTTATTGAAAATCTTAAATCAATACCCTCCCCTAAACCTAAAACAACAGCCAAAACAAGGGCATACAAATCACCAAAATCGATAAAACAAGGCTCTTCCCTCTAAATTGCAATCTGACTGCCAACTCGGAAGCAACAAGCCCACAAGCAGTAGAAATAAAAAAAAAAAATGATTCTTGAACAATTTTTCCCAAAATCAAATCACCTAAAAATGAAAATGATAATGAAGATTATTTAAATCAATGACATAAAATTCTTCAAAATTTAATGAAAACCTAACGAAATTTTCCTCTACAAAGCCAATGAAATCTTAATGATTAATTAATCAACAATCAATTTAGTTATTTACCTTGCAAGGTCTAGAAAGCGTGACCCTTAGCAATACACAACACACAAAAGCCATGAAGGTCTAATATCTTAGTGTTTTCATTTTTCAAATAGCCATTAGTAAATGGAAAAATGGAAAAAAATAATACTCAAAATAAAGCAAACAAGAGTCATACCCTTCGATAAAAAATATAGGCTTTCAACATTGGTCTCAAGGATCTATGGATGTCCAAGGTGATTGCTTCCATGTTCTGCTTGATACCAATAATATAGTAGTAAGAAACAAAAGAAAAAAAACAAAACAAACTCAAATGAAATAGTCATATATTTCTATAACAATCTAGAAAATATACTAACCTCATTCAAGTAACTGAAGTTAATCATATTCAGTTGTGGCACTTTTTATAATATTTGAAGATTCCTATATTTATCTTGATTATCTTTGGAAGCTTTGAATTATGAGAAATAGTTTGTTAATAAAAATCAATTACCACAGCTCTTCCATCTCAACTATCTCAATCAACAGGAGCAATAGAAAAGAATAATCTTTGCGCATACGCACAAAGGGAGAAAATAGGGGAAGCACAGACGATGGAGAAATCCCACGCATCAAATTTCCTCAAAGGCATCTTAAACCCTCTGGTGTTATAAGCCAGGTTGATGATATATGCGTAAATGAGGACACTCATATGAATGAAGATCTTGTTAAAAACTTCTTCTCGATGTCCCCATCCAGCTTGTCAGTTGGGGGAAAGGCTTCTGATCAGCCCAAAAGAACGCCAAAAGAACGCTAGTCTCAACAAGAGATTGAAGCCATCATGTTGGGTGACTGTATGTGACTCGACTGGAGCCTTGACAGTAGAGTGCATCTGTCAAACATGTTTAACAGATTTACAATTCAAACCTTCACACGTGGAAAGACGGAGGAGCTGAACGACAAATTTTCCAAAACACCATCTATTAACATTATTAGTAATGTAACTTTCATAAATTTCGAGAATATACTATGAATACCACATGATGACCTTCAAAATATGAGTTCTTTTTTTTTTGGTCATATCGAAATTTGTTATCATTCAACACCAGAATCTCCAGACCTCATCACATTCAAATAAAAACCTCCCAAAAGTTATAGCACAAAATAGGGTGAAAACAAAGGAAAGAAGAATTCAAAACCTCTCGGCACGGAGTGTTCACACTGCTCTCAGCTTTGAATACACTTTCGCAGCAAGTGAGCTCAAGATCAAGCTACAGAGTGAGTCCCTCGCGACCTTAATATTCGCAAACGAGCCCAGCATATGGATCGTGTCCACAATTACAATCCTTGTCCTGGTGGCGTTCTCGATAGCAAATTTCGTCTCTCCTCCTTTTCCACTCAACCTCCCGATTGCCCAATACAAATTCTCTCCGCTCAGAGTTCTAACGTCCTTTATCTAAAAGTACTCCCACGTACAGCTCATCCATACTAAGAAGGGCCATGGTGTCAATCATGTCAAACCCTAGCATGAAGGCATGGGAAAAGTCTGCGCATTTTTAAAGGTTGCTGACGATAGGGGTGTCGGTCTGGGTTTTCACCTCAACCCTACGAGCCTTGAGCTTCACACGGATGTCGATCTTCATCTCTTCGTAGATCGGGGTGTAGATCTCGAGGCAGGGATTTCTTGAGAGAGGTGTAGCGGTGGGGCAGGACGGGTACCCTGTGGAATTGGATATGGCCGACGGAGATCTCATGTGCCTGAAATTGAGTTTCTGGCGAATGGGACTGCTGGCTGGGCGGTGGAGCTGAGGTGGCCTCGACATCCACGGCAGTGCTGCTGGAGAAGGGATTTTCCATTTGTTTCTTGGTTATGTGTGTGCACCAGCCTTTCTGATATTTTGTCGTTCTCTGAAATGATATTAAAAAGCCCTAACTACCTTCAAAATCTGAGTTAATACACTTAATGGAAAAAAAAAAAATCTCAATAAACAGAATGACAAAAACCCATAATAAGTAAAACAAATGCATCACCAACCCAGTAGAAATCTAAGTGCGATGAGCAAAATCAGGTGATAAAAAAAAATTCAATATCATTCCACGATTGAACAAGAAAAGAGTGAGCCAACATAAATCAATCCAAAAGTTCATATGTACTGACAACAAGCCATTAACATGTCCATTAACCAAACGAATCAGAAATACCTTGCTTGAGATGAGAGAGAAAGACGATAAATTTCAAAAGTAGAAACAAAAAGTAAAGAACTCATCAAAATCCAATTTCTTCGCGATCGCAGCCAGCAACCATCGGAGACATTTGGTAGTATGGCGTTTGCAATAGCCGCGAGATGTTGGGGGACCACAGATGGTCTTCTCCTTCTGGAGATTGGTGACGATGACCTACAGAACCTCCATGTGCTCGCTCTCCGTCGAATTTTAGGTTCGCAAGGGTTAGAGAGGAGGTGAGGAGAGAATTTTTTTTCTCTCTCTCATTCATTTTTGCGGATCGTGAAAAGTGACGTGTGACAGAAAGTAAATTTGTATGACTATACTAACCCCAAAAAGTGGTGTGAAAGAAGGGTAAATTAGTATATAGACAACAATGAACACAATCAAAATGGGTAAATTGCGCCATACCCCCTTGTATTATACGAAATCTGCGTGTTATCCCCCTGTATTTTAAAAATTGCGCCATACCCCCTTGTATTATACTTTTGATTGCGCGTTATCCCCTAAACCTTCTAACTTTACGGATGTGCATTTCACGCGCGTGTGGTGCGGTTTTTTTTCCATTTTTCGCCATAAACTCAGGGAAATGACTATTTTGCCCCTTAATACCTGGATTAAATTGAACTCCTCTTCTTCAAATCGCAGACAATCCAAGTTCTTCCAATTTTTTTTCTTCAAATCGCAACTGTGAGCGTTCTTCAAATCGCCGGAATTCAAATCGCTTTGAGGTAAGCTTTCGCAATCCAAACCTAAGAAATCCAAACCCAAAATAATTCTTAGCCTATTCTTCAAATCGCAAGGCTGTGAGGGTTCTTGAAGAAATATAAGGTAATTTTTCCAAACCTTCATTGAATTTCGATAGGGCTTTTGCTAATTGGTTGTTATTTGTTTGGTAGATCTGAGATTGGTATAGATTAGAGATGAAATTGGTCTGAAATTTTTTATTTTTGAAATTATGGTTTGTTATTTGTCGAGGCAGATTTTGAAATTAGGGTTTCAATATTTTGTGCATTTTCGAATTTAGGCAGATTTTGTTGAGATTAGGCAGATTTTGTGCATTTTCGAATTAGGGTTTCAATTTGTTGAGATTAGGCAGATTTTGTGCATTTTTTATATTAGGCTGATTCTATTCAAACCTCAAAATAATTCTTAGTCTAACCATTGCTATTTTTTTTTTTTTTTTT